GAGAGAAACGAGGGGAGATGGGAGGAGAGAAGGGGAGGGGAGGGGAGGGGAGGGTTGGTCGGGCGTGAGCTTGGGATGAGGTACACACTTACCGTATGGCTGTGGCGCGGCGCCGTATCTGGGTTCCGCCAAAAGGGGAGCCGGCCTTCCATTTCCTGTCGCGTCGTTTTTGTGCGCGCTCGATCCTGTAAAAAAGAAAAAAGAAAAAAACCATCTCAATTATACTATCCATCGTTTATCCTGAACGATCGAAGCAAGCAAAACTTTTCTTCTTCGGAATCGATCGACCGATATCGACCGAGGGATCTTCTTCTTCTTCTTCTCCTCCTCCTTTTCCCGTTTTGTTTCTTTTCCTTTCCCTTTCCCCCTCTCCCTTCCTCTCTCTTTTCCTCGGTTTCCATTTATAGAAATAGCACATGACAACGAACAGGGCACCGGTTATTTTATTCCGGCGTGTACGGCGAGATTGGTCGAGGCGCAATTTGTTTCGCCGAACTGAATTGCGCGACATTCAATCTACGACATTGAATCGGTTTTCCTCTCGATTGGCGGCGCGCAACCGTAGAACGAATCCTGAATAAGTTAGCAAAGCTAACGGACGTGGCCCGGATTAATCAATTCCCCGGCGATTCCCCTTTTCGGGGGAATGTCAGATCGTCAGAAATTCGAGGAAAGCAGCGCAACACACTTGTGCTGTGTTGTGTGAAATCTGCCGGTGTCAACCTCAGTTTCCTTAGAGGGGGGAAGGGGGAGAGAGAGGGAGGAAATTCGTTGCAACCGATCTCGGATTGGATAGTCAAAGATATACCAGGAGATATACCGGGGAGAGCACGCGAGATTTTGACAGTTTGGGGGCAGTTTACTGATTAGCACGGCTTAGTTATGGTGAGAAGCACGATCTCCCGGGATTAGGGGGAGGGATAGGAACACGGCCGCAAAGGGTTCGAACGAAACTCTGATTCTTGATGGGTTAGGATCCAACGTAGGATCGAAAAATTCCAACTAACTCTGCCCTGGTCCTCGAGGATTTAAAGGGAGTTGTTCGTGGTCTCCGTGGACGAAGTTGCAGCGTTTGGTTGGAAAGTTTGAGGGAGGGGTTTGAATTTCCTTTACCACGAGGGTTGTTTAATTCTTGCTACTATACTGGTGACGTAAATTAAAATAATAAATAGGAAATTTTAATTATGTATTTAATGAAAAGTGAGACGTTGGTATATAAATAGCGCAAGTAAATATCATTATGAAGCTGAATCGATCAACTTTGCTTTTCGAAAAATCTTTAATTTAACACGAAAATATCGCCTCGATGGATTTTTTTTTTATTTCAGCGTGAAAATATTGCTTCGATCGACTTAATCAATTTAGCTTCCCCGCACTGTTTCAAAAAGCGTTCTTTCGAAGAGAGAGAGAGAGAGGGAGAAAGAGAAAAATCGTTTAATAATAAATCAAAAGCGTTCTACTCATACCTCTCCTATATTTCCTCAAATATATTCTCTTCGCGTTTCCCGAATCACAATCGCGCAACAAAACAACGCGATAAAATAAACGACAACTTGGCGATATAAATACGCGATATAAACATTAACGTTCCAATTTCGCGGGCAAAATTACGAATTAATAATATTCATAAAATTCTATCCGATGAAACGATTCCCGATTCTGTTTATCCATCCTCCCGATCGAAAACGGTTTGAAAACGGCTCCCGCTTCCGGCCACACTTCATTTTATCATACAATTGCGCGCACAGACACAGACGCAAGGGCCCGTCACTTGTTTTCCTTCGTTGTTGTCTGTCGCCTCGAGATATAATCTCACCGCCTCTTCGCCGAAACCAAGCGTATACAATTGGTCTATATTAAACCGCATTACGTATACAATTTGGGTTATATACGTGGGTGTCGCGCGTGCACATGTACACACACACACAGGCACGCTGCATCGAGGGATGCACTCTTCTCCCCCTCCCTCCGTGCAACCTGTATATTGATTTCGAATATTCGATATCGCGTGCCGACACACCAATGTGCACACGAGCCCGTCGAGAACGATGCATCTTCATCCGAGATGGATAGATCCATACGCGGAACGATTCCGTCGCGGTTGTTTCGTTCATTCGCATGTAGGAGAAGGGAGGGAGGGGATTTCCGGCCGTTAAACCATCGCCACCTCGATGATTTCCTTGGACGATTTTTCCTCAGCGAGTTCGATATAACGTATTGTAATAAATGTATCGATCGCCACGTCGTCGATACGTTTGTGGCGGGTGTTGAAATTAATTGGAGTCCAGGTGACGAAATCGCGAGCAAAGTTTTACTTAAACAGAGACGAGAATTTCGAGACACGTTTTGTCGTTTCGAATATCGAAACGATACACGCTCGTTGAAAATTTTTCGAAGAGAAGTGATTTTAAAATAATAATTTTTCTCTCATAATTTATTAATGAAGTTGAAGTATTTTTAGTGAATTTTTGGTTTATAAACAAATTCCTTTTTTCGAAGGAGAAAGAGAGAGAAAGAAATCGAATATTTGTGAGTTTTGGAAGGAAATTTTGTCGCAGAATTAAATATAATTTTGATTTTTCTCCTAAAAAATATATTTGGGCCTAAGATCAAAGGTGATTCGAAGAAATATTGTTTCGTTGTATATTTTTGCAATAGCGGTGATGCATCATCAGTAGTAGAACTTAAAAAAAAATTTCTTGAAATAAAAGATACTTTTCTTGAACAATGTCTCGGGAATGAGACAAGTAGAAAGTAAGTACAAAAAAAGATTCGTATCAAAACACTCGACCGACTGTCTTGACTCGTCGTGTCGCTCTCTTATTACAGATATGTAATAAGCAGACGTCTGGAAAACGAACCATTGTATGGTGGCGATAAACGCGAATGTAATGTTTTAAACATTAGAAATTATAAACGGAGCTTTGACGTTGTACTTTTCTCGCGAATTTCATCATTGAATTATATATTTTTTTATTAATACAAAGAAAGGAAATACGACCTCTGACCAGATAATTTTAATCTAAATTTTAAGACCTTAAATACGTCTT